CTAGCGGTATTTACCGGTAACTCGCGGTAGACCGCGTAAAGCGCACCGCAAAATAATGCGGTATCGCCCGCGCATTTTGAATGGCTGCATCTGTACATAGTATATCAGGGTCAATAAAACTCTTTCGAAGTCACGATCCATTAGCACAGGTGCACCTCAGGACTATGTGACCTCACCAGTTCTATTCACACTTTATACAAATGATTGTATGAGCAGTAGTCAAAGCAACTTCATTTTCAAATTCTCAGATGATACAGCTGTGGATGGCTTAATGCAAAGAGGAAGCAGTTCATCTACCAGAAATCCAAAGGTCTGTGCAATGGTGCGACAACAATAGCCTAAGTTCGAATGTTAATAAAACAAAAGAAATAGTTTTTGATCCCAGAGCATTTTTGATCACTCACAGGTAGTAATCCACAACAAACCTATCGCTCATGTTGATTCATATAAGTACTTAGGAGTACACATAGACAGTAACTTGTGTGTTACAGTGCTTATATTTCTTACGAAGACTAAGAGTATTTTGGGATTTGACAGGAAATAATGCTACTCTTTTACCATACTGTAATCGAGAGGATTATCAGATATGGTATACCAGTGTGGTTTGGTAATTTATCAGTTCAATTGAGATCGCAAATTACCCGTCTCATCCAAACAGTTTTGAAAGTCATGGGAGTGAAACAGCACTCCTCTCAGCAGACAATCTTTGAAAAAGCCATAATTAAACAGGCAGAAAAAAATATATCAGATCTTTCTCACATCCCCAATTCTGAATACCAATTTCTTCCTTCTGGCAAATGTTTCAGGATTCCCCAGTGCACTGTAGGTCAAACAAATACAAACATTCTTTTGTTCCAGTATCCGTTAAAGCCGTCAATCCAAATGGCAAGGATAAACACCATTTTTTACCTTTACAATCCACTTGTGTGCAATATGTTTTGTAATGTGTTATAAATGTTATATGTTATGTGTCATATATGTGCAATAGAGTGATATGCTGTGTGTCCACAAAAAGGTTCCCTCAGGGGATAATAAATCTTTCTTGTCTTAAATACCAGGAGATATTTGGTAGATACATTACCTGGAACTAGAACTCTGTGGTGAGTCACATGTATCATTTAGGAAGAAGTGAGCTGGCCAGTCTAAAGGACCAGCTTTAGGCAGAGGAAATACTGTTATTTCACTGGGGAGTTAATTTTAATTTACCGAGATATAGGTGAAACAGAAAAAAGCTGCCAGATAGATCAATTTTATTGTTGGGAGAACAATATTATTGCATCGATTTCAACATTAGTAATTCTGTTCAATATATTCCCATTATTCACCAAATTTATTCTTTTAATTCTGGTACATTCTATCAGTTCATCAAAATAACACCTGGTACCTATTCATGTGTTTTGCTTATGGAGCTTATGAAGATGGCATCTGTCACAGACAGGCAGAAGTCAGTGTTTAGGCACATGCAGTACAGTGCCTGATATAAGAGATGAATAGCTTAAGATTTAAGAGTTCCAGTGTAAAGCAACCCCACCTTCCTCTGGACGACACCATCCACCTTCTCTAGCTCTCCAAGGATGGATGACAGGAAAGAGGACTTTCCAGCACCCACTTGCCCCACCACAGCAACGAGAGATCCATCTACAATTCTCATGTTCAGACTGGCAACACAGAAAACAAATAAAACTCCCCTGGGCTCAGCAACCACATACACACTTGTTCACATTTCAAGAGCTTTGCAACAATTAGCATTATGCATGCTGGTAGCTTTGAATGTAAATAACAAATTAACATTCCTGGCCTCAAAACTTTTCCAGAATTAGTAAGAACCTGAGGATGCTTTTTAAAAAAAGACACAGCAGACCTGACACTGAATTTTTTACAGTTATTGTAAAAATCAAAAGAAACTCTCACATAATGAATATTAATAAATCAATTCTGTCTCAATAAAATATCCAACACTGTTAATTAATTTGGGTTTGAGTAAAAAACTTTCTATTTAGTGAAAATGTTAATGAAAAAATGATTAAGAGCAACACTTAAATTCCACTGTGCATTTAAGTGAAATAAAGGTTCCAACTCACTCTTTCAACACTACAGGTTCAGTCTTATCCCAACGGAAGGAAGCATTGGTAAATCCTACAGCAAGGTCTGTGACAAAGAGAAGTGTTTAAAATGTTTGAGAGAATAAATACTTCACAAGAGAATTAATTAAATTAAAACTGCCCATGGTGACATCGTGTGAATAAGTGTGTCCCTGCTTCACTGCATAATCTGAAGTTATTCTGTTCATAGTCATCTAGACACACACAGGCATGATCAGGACAAGAGCATGTGCAATACATTTCCATGTATAGTTAGTTATGTTACTAAGGCTTTCAGGCCAAGGGCTCTGATCATGGCGTATTTACATACTTACTAAAACATACTTACAAAAGCAAAGTAGTGATTTCTTACAATGGTTACATGTAAAAACTATTAGAGGGTTGTGCAAAAATATTATTTTATTAAAATTTCCTACATACCACCAGATTCAGATGTCTGAACATTTCCAGGATTCAACTCTTCACTGTTGAGGAAGGTTTCCAAGCGACCTAGTGATACTTTCATCTTCAAAAATACACAGAGCTCAATTCAATTACATTCAGAGAATTGTTATTTATATACAGATGCAGCCATTCAAAATGTACAGTACAACTCCATACCATGCAAAATTATCTACAGTTCACCGCGTTACCCCGCAATACGTGATTGGCTGGCCAAAATGACCGACAGGCGGCACATGTGCTGCATTGGTTGTTAGTGAAACAATTACTTTATTTAATCTCTTTACTGTGCATGTTTAAATCCACTTAATAATGAATATTAATATGGAATATTTCAACTAAAGGGAAATTTTAATAGCTGAGCATAAAAATAAGTGGTGTCTGAAGGTCATAACTGATATTAATTTAGGAACATAAACATATTATGTATTGATAGTTTACATAAAAAATACACACCAGTATTACACTTAATTCCTTAACATTTTAAGCATCAAAGTCTTTCATTCGGTTACATACTGTGATTATTTTGGAAAAGTTTTAACGTGCTCCTTCTGACTATATTAAGCTTATATACTTCAGAAAGCTACAATGTTTTAACCTTTTCTATGAATACTTGCGGTCGTTATTGCAGGAAAAGAAACACATACTTTTAAGAATTTGATTAATAGGGAATATAATATGGAATCGTTTATCTAAAGAAATTAATAACGATATAATTATATTCATATAGCTCAAATTATCACAGTAGTACCCTTTCTTTATAACATCTGCATCAATTTGTCTCATTCACCCGCAGCTACCTGGAAACTTCTTGCCTGTCCTGTTCAGTTATAGCTTAAGTTGTCAAGTGGTGTGTTGGTATAATGGCTTTGGTATATGACTTGCATGCTGGAGGTAGGGGGTTCAAACCCAGCTCTTGCCATGAGTTTTCCTTTAAAAAATAAACATTTCTTTGAAAAACTAAAATAGTAAATATTTTAGACACTACATTGAATTTGTTGGTATTTCTAAATATCACAACACGTTCAAAGTTTAGTGAGTTAAGTGATTAACCTTTTCTATGAATTATTGCATTCGTTATGCAATAAAAATACAGTAAAAATCCTCAGACTATTTAGAAACTGCTAAAAAAGGGAATATAATATGGAATCGCTTATCTAAAGAAATTAATAACGATATTAATTTAAGGATCTAAATATATGTATTTATATAGCTGGTAGTACTACTGTAATCCACTTTCTTTGTAAACACGTTTTATTTTTATTTGACTCATTTACGCATGATGAAGTATGTACACTATAAACATGTTTTTGTTTTTTTTGTACATATATATTATAACATATTTAATGTTAAGTTATATTAATAATGAAATAAAAATGTGAATACTGTCAACTGTTCAACCGGTTTAATTCAAAACACTTTATTCAGTGGGGCAATTAAATAGACGCCTCAAGCCTCTATATACAAAATCGTATACAGATGCAGCCATTCAAAACAAGCGGGCGATACCGCATTATTTTGCAGTGCGCTT